TGATGTTGTAAGTGACTATCATTGTGTGAACATGGCCTATCAGCTCAATATGATTCGACTTGGAATCAGTCTGTTAGGCCGGATAGGTATGGTAGAAGAGGTACTTTAGGTACAGTAGTAGTCTTTAACAGCTGAGGTATCCACCCTTTTGTCCTCAGGCATGACAGATGGGACCATTTAATATTATTCCGTGGATGAATGACCGCATCATCTGTGGTCCAACATTAGTCAGCGACACAGGATAGTTAGTTAGTTATTATTTTACCCGATATTGAACACCGCCACTCCCTTTACAGTTCAGGAAGTGTGGCTGCTAAAGAGTGGCTGGTGCTCCCATTGCTGATATCAGCTACCTTAGGTAACTAGTTAACTAACTATCTCAGGTACTAACTAGGTACAGCTCACCTTCTCCTACTTGCTAGCTGCTTCCAGGACAATTCTCTCCGCCCATCAATCCATAACTCTATCAGACTCTAATCCCTGTATATCCTCACTCATCGAGCTCTTGATATTTGGCATACCTTGTCGTCTTTTGCGTCTGAATCGGTAGATTCTCCAAAGTATCGGTCATTGTGTGGTCAGCAACTTGTGCATCAAGAGGAGCGTCATCGACCGACATCCACCATGGCGCTGGACAACTACTATCGCAATAAGATCGAGAGCATGAAACTCGAGATTATCCAAGGTCAGGCTGTTTTACGTCGACTGGAAGCACAGCGCAACGACTATAATTCGCGAGTTCGTCTACTACGAGAGGAGTTGGGTTTGCTTCAACAACCTGGTTCTTATGTGGGTGAGGTTGTGAAGGTGATGAGCACCAAGAAGGTTCTTGTCAAGGTACATCCGGAAGGAAAATATGGTACGTTTTAGGCTCTGCCTGCTCCCCGGGCTGTTGATCGAGGTCACATAGATGAAATGCTAACTTGAAATGTGGTGCTGTAGTCGTCGACATTGCAGACGGTGTCGATATTACGAAGCTCACTGTAGGCAAGCGTGTCGCGTTGCTTTCTGACTCTTATAAATTAGAGAAAATGTTGCCATCATCTGTCGACCCGCTCGTTTCGCTCATGATGGTCGAGAAGGTGCCCGACAGCACATACGACATGATCGGAGGCCTCGATCAACAAATTAAGGAGATCAAGGAAGTCATTGAGCTTGGTCTCAAGCACCCAGAGCTGTTTGAATCTCTAGGTATCGCGCAGCCCAAGGGTGTTCTTCTTTACGGGCCACCCGGAACCGGTAAAACACTGCTCGCCCGAGCGGTAGCCCATCACACAGATTGTCGATTCATCAGGGTCAGCGGGTCGGAACTCGTCCAGAAATACATTGGTGAGGGTAGTCGTATGGTGCGCGAGCTGTTCGTCATGGCTCGAGAGCACGCACCAAGCATTATCTTCATGGACGAGATTGACAGTATCGGTTCCAGCCGTATAGACTCGGCCGGCTCTGGCGATTCGGAAGTGCAGCGTACAATGTTGGAGCTGCTCAATCAGTTGGATGGGTTTGAGCCCACAAAGAACATCAAAATCATCATGGCTACAAACCGGCTTGATATCCTGGATCCCGCCTTGTTGCGTCCCGGAAGAATTGACCGGAAGATCGAGTTTCCACCACCATCGTAAGATTCAATCCGTCTTATACCCTTCTTTTTTTTTTTTTTTTTTTTTCTATGAAGTGTTTATGTTTACAACTTACTAACTTCCTTCCTCTCTGATAGGGTGGAAGCTCGTGCGGATATTCTACGCATCCACTCACGGTCGATGAACCTGACACGAGGCATCAACTTGACGAAGATTGCGGAGAAGATGAATGGATGCTCGGGAGCAGAATTGAAGGGTGTGTGCACCGAGGCAGGCATGTACGCGCTTCGAGAACGGCGGGTGCACGTCACACAAGAAGATTTTGATCTGGCCACTGCCAAGATTCTCAACAAACACGATGACAAGGAGGTTGCTGTCTCAAAGCTATTCAAGTAAAGCGCGCGAGACTTTTCAGGAAGGCAGGGAGGAGCGGAGGTGGTTCGACCGCTACCTAAAGCGAATCTCTCGGGCGACGAACGACATGTAATAATAGTTCTACTTCCAGCATGGTCCACACCATTACATTTACGTCCTCCAGCGAATACATGGCATTTGCTGCTTCACGATGACTTGGACCTTCCACGACGCATATGGCTAATATCTAGGTGACGTTGATCAAATGTGTAGCCGGCGGGTGTTGGTTTATCATGCTATCTGCTGCCCGAGTCTAGATGTGGCAGCAGGGCAAAAGGATTGAGGTCAGCTTTGCATTACTCCTACATGGACACGTCGTAGATAGCGGTAGGTCGCACGGAAGATCTTGGCGAGAAGACGATCCATATTCCGCCACGCCTTGCGCATTATTGAACAGATCAACAGAATATACTGTACAGTATACAAAAATGCATCCCATAGCGTACGCGAAATTGCGAAGCGACTAGATAGTAGATACTCACTTCCGAGTCCCAGTCGCCAAAGCTTTTTCCTGAGTGATGGTCCTGATGGATGCCTTGATCTTTGAGGCCAGGAATGCCCAGAGGTCACTATTAAGAGACTATTGACCATCCATTACTCGAAAGACTTGGCAAATATGGATGAAGCTATGAACCCTACTCAGGCTCAGTCAACCAAAGCAGCCAAGACTATCGAGCAGGATAAGGAAAGGATGTTGGTATGTGGTCCAAGTAAGGTAGCAAAGGGGCTCGCACTGCCAAGCCTACTGCTATCGTTATTCATTGCTACTACTCCAGAGTACTAGTCTTATCTCCATCGACCTAGATGATCTATCTTCCCAGTATCTACATAGAACTAGGGGAGATGTACTCCATATTTTAATAAGGTAGATGATCTGCAAGGATTCCTTGCTCACTCGACGATCGTTCTGTATTCAAAGTAAGTAGCAACAGGTCAATTGCATGGATAGGGTAGGTAGTACGAGAATGGCATCATGATGTAGGCCGCCTCCTGTATACATGGGCAGAGATAACTAACAATGAAGTTGAACAAGTGTTTTCATTCTAAGTGTTCGCTGTTGATCTAAGATATCTTCTTCCAATACGGAGTAGACTAGGTACTATCTATCTATCTATACAACAGTGAAGGTACCTAGCAAGTTGACGCGTCGTTCAAACAGACATCTTTCCTGCGGAGTCTTTGTGGCATACGCGTGACCAGGAGTGGATCCTCTTTTTTTTGCAGGGTCTCGGCTTTGGTGGGGCACTCCAGATCTGATGACCTTTTTGGCTTTTCGGGAATGGCACAAATACGCAGTACAATAATAGTAGTACCTAGTGAGTTCGTAGTTGGAGGATCAGGTCATCATAATAATACATAATGGTAAGAATAGTGCAAAGAAATCAATCACTTATTGTTAGTAAAGGCTGAAGCCCGCCCTTCTGGTTGACAATTTCTTTCATCCTTACTATTCACATACGTGTCTACAGGGGTGCTCTGTATTTCATCCCCCGTCTCGGACGATTCGGTCCGTCCCAAGAACAAACAGTCCATGCTACTCTACTGTACATGCTACCTAGTATATTCCACCCTTGTCCTCCAGTCCGTCCAATCTCAGGTCTCCTCGTGCGGCTGGGCTGTGCCTCCCCTTGCGCTTCTGGTTCCGCCGATTTGGCCAAGTCAACAGAGATCAATAGGTGCCTAAGTATCAGTCCATCCTGATCCTGGAGTTCTCCACATGCGGCCAGGATCAATGAAGTCCGCCCCCGAATACTCCCAACCAATGATAGCTTGCTTTCCTTTGTTTCCTGATCGGTTGCCAGATCATCTGCAACTTGTCTAGACTACCTACTGATCTATGTAAAAGGTTGTTGGAGTCTTGCACTCTCGCCGTCAGATTCTCCGACACGGATAGAGCGGACTGTGTCTCCCTGGTTAGTGGTTAGTCCCTCAGTCCCTGGATGAGATTCCTCCGTAACTCTGAGACTCTCCATTATCCGGAGTGGGCTCACCTCTATGTTTTCAACCTCTTTCTTTTTCCTCATATTATTGAGAGAGTAATGATCATAAATCATAATATCCCCGAGAAAGGAAAATAGCCGACAATCATTCTTGGCTTATCTACAAGGTACTTTATCCCAAAAGTGAAGTGGCTTCTATGTCTGATTCTTCTGTACAACATAATGCAATCAATAATCAAAATCCTACACCTGTAGATAGCTGATCATACCTCCATACCTTAATGATAGAGTCTCTTACTCACGTACTGAAGCATATAAAGATCATCTTCCATCTCTTCTCTGAGTAAACACCATTAATTCTTTACTTTTTCAACCAGAGTGGCTACTTTAGCACTCTTCGAGTCTTCCACCAAGCCTTCTAGAAACAAAAATTAGTTGGCTTCTTATTATTTCCCCCTGTTTGGATTTCCCCGGACTTGCTCTTTTAGTCCTTCCGTATCTCGCTACTCCGTCCTCCGTATCGTACAATATCTAGACTACCTAAGGACTAGATACTACGGTAGACTAAGGTAGTTAATAACTGAAGGACTTAAGGTAAGCCTTTATCCATCCATCAGTTATCCCCAGCTGGCTGCTGCCTTTATCGTTCACCGGTATGTTCTTTCGAAAGTGGCTGCATTCAATGTCGATTTTTATTCGATGATTTCCCCCCATCTTTCCTTTCCCCTTCTTTCAGCATGATCAACTTATTTTCTTACTACATGATCTACATCAGTCATGATCCCACGCTAGTACTGACAGTACCACCGCTATCTTGTCTTCTTTGTATTGTGTTACCATCATTTATTATCACATCAATGTGGTGGCCAATTTATCCGGCTATACTTAATACTAATATACATCGTTCAGGCATACATATCATTGAATCTTTCTCATTCCTTTACAATCGCCACACCTCGCCTCGTTTTTCTTTCTGTTAACTGATCGATGTCGCTAAGGTCCTGACGCCTCCAACTCATCGGGTCTATTTGCGTCTAACTTCCGCCGACCCCCAGTTCAATCGTGTATGATGGCCGAAGGCGAACTATGGTATTCATTAGTCACTGCTATCGATCCGGTTAACATCAAAGCCATGCCGGCTGTCCTACAATCAACCATCAACCTACTCGAAAATGAGCTGGCCAAAGCTAGGGCCGCTCTCAAGGAAATCCAGCCCAATGCTGCTCCTAGGTTTACTGCTGGGGATGAGCTCGCCGTTGGTGCCATCGCCGCCTATCGTCAAAATCTCATTGGGCGTGCCCCGGACTTCTACTATGGAACTCGGCGGTTGACCCCCAAGGAACTGGGCCTTGTTCCAGTCATTCGGGAGGTGCAGGTAGCCCCCGAGGAAGACGATTCGCAGGATGAGAATCAGTGCTCTGTGACCGTGATCCCGTCTAAGCCAACATCTCTCACCGATGTGCTGTCCAATAGCTTGATCCTCGATCATATGGCTCCCTATTTGTCGATTTCGGGCCTGTTCTCATTGGCATCAACATGCCGCACCCTCCGATCCGTGGTCATGGAGACACCTTACGTTTTTCGGCATCTTGACCTAAGTCAATGTCGTGGGGCGCAGCTGCAGAAGAGTTCGACAGCTGACTGCAGGACTCGGACCTTGGATAATGAACACATGGACGAGTCTCTTACCGAGGACGAGTTCTACTCGGCCCCCTTAAAGAAGATCTTCACAAAACTCGAGCAGAAGTCGCTCTTACAGGACGTGCGCACCTTGATCTTGGATGGGCTACCGGTCCCAGCGGACCTAATAGCAGACATTGTGCTCACAGACCGCTTCAATGTGAACATCCTGTCTATCAGAGGGTGTCAGAATTTGAATGAACGTAAACTCATGCAAGTCCTTCAGTATGCAGTACGTCCGACTCGCCCTGCGGGCACCCCCCGGGTGAAAGGCATCTATTTTTTCACGCCACCAAATCAGCCACAAGCTGCAGTACGAAGCAGGTACCGCAATTGGTGGAGTTCGAGGTGTACCGGTCAAACGCCGGTGGAAGCGAGATCGCCATCGCGTCAACACGGTCAGGCACTTGAGCCTTACCGGCAGAATGCCTGGTACTCTCCGTCCGGCAGGTTATTGACTACTAGCATCGAGGAAGGCTGGGCGCAGACAATTCAGAGATGCCACGGCATCATCGCTTTTGACGCCGTGCTGTGCCGTGGGCCAAGACACGACCCCAATGCTATGTTGATGAGCCAGGATGGGTCTCAGCAGGAAGGCCACTTGCTGGGTCCGGCGATTGCTACTGTTGCCCTCGGGTCTCGCGGATGTGATGGTTGTCACAGCTCTCCCGAGGGCCCAGCGATATGGGGACAGTCCCCGGAGGAGACCTTTCCTCTGCTCACTCCGCCTCCGTTTCACTCATCCTCCATTGTGGCGGCGAAGCGCCCTGCACTTTTTCCAGGAGGAGAACATCCTGCCCTGATTGCCCGCTGCGCGGATTGCCTTACCGATCGCTGGTGCCACCGTTGTAACAAATGGTTCTGCGCCAACTGCCTGCCGCATCCACAACATGTGAGCTCTAATCTTTCGCCCCATCAGACTGCAATGAGAGCTCCGCTCAGCAGCAATGACCCGTCTCAGGTATGCAAGCTTGAATATGCGCATGTTCAGAGCCGAGGCGATACGACAGTTCGCTGACTAAGGATCCTTAGAGACTGGAACGTGGAGTGAGCAAGGATTGCTGGGAGTGTGGCCCTACTGTAAGCGTTTCCCATGAACGAGCGGAAAGGGAAGAAAAAAGAAAAATCTCGAAGCTTTGAACTGACGGTATCTTCAGTGCGCCGCATGCAGACTGGATTGCCAACGAACGTGCCAACACTGCCAAGGACTATACTGCGTTGAGCACAATGAAGGCTGCTCTTCGACAATGGTAAGTACTTGCAGTTGATTCCCAACGAGAATTTGTAAGGCAAAGCTAATTGGAATGGTTCCAGTGTGACTGGTGCAACACCAGTTCGCGCCATCGGCTTAGGCAACTCTATTAGCACGTTTTCGAGAGGTAGCCGCGGATGTTGAGGTAGCTTTTCGAAGACCCTATTGGCATCTGAACATGGACACAGTGATGACCGGTTATGACTATGATATGAATGATGCGGGCGAATCCTTCTTGAATTGAAATTTATAGCGGACTGAGATCAGCAGGCTTGCCTGAACTCTAACAGTCACTAAATATCCCCCCTTAGTACTTTGAATCTCCACTTTACTCTCCAGTTTCATGCTTTTTTGGTGAAGTGTGCTGTTTTGAAACTGCTTCCCATGGCAATCGAGCTCTGGAGAATAGGTCTTTTGATTCCCTCTCCTTGCTGTTTCTCCAATTTTGGGAATTTTCTCTCTTTCTCAAGTCAAGACGAGACATTCCACTCCTCCGTGTGTTGAGTTTGGGATTGAATATCTTTCTTGTAGGCAACCAGCATGATGTCGTAATCAATGCGGAGGGGCGAAATCTCCCCCCCAGGTGCATTGTTATTGATAAGCGGAGCATCTTCCAGAATGCACGCAACTGTTCGATGGCGGCCATGGATTTCAACTGCATGCGCACTGTCGGGACATAAGATGTTTCACAACAGCTTCATTCTTTGTCGCCCCATTTTCGATATCATCCCCTGTCTAAATCATGGCTCGGGAGCAAGATTCATTACAGTGGTCATCGCAGTTCTTCGTTGCTCCACCACAGCGCACACCCAAGTTGCCTGGAGATAAGATTACCCTGCCACAATCGGCCCTCGAGCAGCTTCTGGCTGCTGCTCCGTTGCGCGAGGTGTCGTCTCAGGGTTCCTCGCGCCAATACACCAGTACCTTCGATCCGTTCAACCCTCACACATTCGCCGCCGAATCGCGAGCTCGAGCGCAGGAATTAGACCGCCAAAGGCAGTTGCCTCATCCACTGACTTTCCGTCTCGTGAACCCCAAAAATGATCGCGTAATATATGCAGGCATACGGGAGTTCTCAGCTGAAGAACAAGAAGTGGGTCTCAGCGCTTTTCTACGACGTGCTCTTGACATCGAGGATGAGCAGTTCCAATTGCAACCCGGTGAACATGCGACAGAGACGGCGCAGTCTACGGACTTGAACAATGGAGGAAGATTAGAATCTGTTCGCTCGACTTCCACAGTTACAGTCCATGCCAAGCAATTGCCAAAAGGTACCTATGTGCGTCTACGCCCTCTCGAGGCTGGATACGATCCAGAGGACTGGAAGGCTTTGCTGGAGCGACATTTACGTGACAATTTCACTACTTTGACTACCGGAGAACTCCTCTCGGTGTCCGGGTATCGGAACGAAATGTTTAGATTTCTTGTCGACAGGGTGGAACCCGAAGGCGACGGCATTTGCGTCGTGGATACAGACTTGGAGGTTGACATTGTGGCTTTGACGGAAGACCAGGCCAGAGAGACATTGAAAAGACGGTTAGAGAAAGCTTCTCGTGCTCCCGGCAGCACAGGGGGCAGCTCAATAGGCGGGGCTCTCGCCCTGGGAGAAGCAGTCACGGGACAGGTGATCCCGGGCGAGCACGTGGACTACGAACTCAGCAAATGGGATCGTGGGGAGATGATCGAAGTTGAGCTTGAAGGCATAGATGATGCAGTTGTCTATTTGTTCGCGAGTCCGTTCTCCTCTCGTCAGCGGAATCGACCCAGGGTGGATGAGCATGTCTTCGCTGACTTCTCAAGCCGGCCGTCGAAAACACTTCGTATCCAGCCAACCAATGTCGAACTTGACGGGGCTGAGACCTTGTATCTTTCGGTACATGCGTTCGCTCAAACCAAGGCTGGTGACGAGATAGCTTCAAGCCAGACCTTACCACTTCGTTATAGCATGCGGGTCGTGCAAAGCTCTTCAACCGTTGAAGAGGTAGAAGAAATGAGAGACCAGTCAAATAGTCATGAACCCGGTGATGTGCAGTGTAAGAACTGTCATCAATGGGTGCCTCAGAGGACGCTTGTTCTGCACGAGAACTTTTGTCTGCGCAATAATGTGCTTTGCCCTCAGTGCGGCAATGTCTTCCAGAAGCGCTCTCCAGAATGGGAAAATCATTGGCACTGCCCTCACGACTCGTCCCATGGTAATGATATTTCTAGCAAGCATAGGCATGATAGTATCTTCCATACCAGATGCTCATGTCCTGGCTGTGGATTCGAAACCGACGGCCTCCCGAGCCTCGCCCAACATCGCACGACTGTCTGTCCAGAGAAACCCATTTTATGCCAATTCTGTCATCTGGTGGTGCCACAGCGAGGGGAGACAGACCCTGACATGTATGACCCTGAGGTGTTGTTGTCCGGTCTCACTCCGCATGAATTGGTTGACGGCGGCCGGACGACAGAATGCCATCTCTGCAACAAGATCATTCGACTTCGGGATATGAAGACCCACCTGCGCCACCATGATCTCGAGCGTCTCTCTCGACCAGCACCCCGTATCTGTTTGAACCAGAACTGTGGCAGAACGCTCGATGCACGCGGAGTGCAGAGCACAGTCACCCCGGGAATCGACACACTTGGCCTCTGCAGTATCTGCTTCGGACCTCTTTACGTAGACACATACGATCCCGAAGGAAAATCACTTCGTCGCCGTATCGAGCGCCGATACCTCTCCCAGCTGATGTCCGGATGCGGGAAGTCCTGGTGTCAGAACGAGTACTGCAAGACAGGAAAGCAACAACGGCTTTCATCCGACACCGGCGATGGCGGGTCGACGTCAATGAGCGCGGCAAAAATCTTGGCCTTGGTGCGACCCCTGATAGATGCCATCAATTTCCGGAGGGACGCGCCGAATACAGCACCTTTCTATCTTTGCACCGATCAAGTCGGCCAGCAACGACGAATTCTGGCGGAGATGATTGCCGCCGAAGGAGCTATGAGCGGAGGGAAGGCATATGATCTGCCATGGTGTGTTGCTGCTGTCGAAGCTACCGCTGGGAATCTCGACAAAGCACGAGAGTGGTTGACGAATTGGGCGCCTGCTAAAGACGAGGACAAACGTTCTATTAGATGAGTTGACTGGACGTGCATAGACCTGCGATCTAGGGTAACATATGGATATAGAACCTAAGTGACGAATTGCTTTGATAACATGACCATTTTGCCGGAACCTTTGTTTATCAATTTCCTCTATCGATTTAGTATCATTGTTTTATAGAGGGGAATATTTAAGTTCATTTACCGATTGGCTAAAGGATATTTATCATAAGTATGGAGCTTCTTCATCCCCATAGATCGAGAATTCAACTGTGAGGGAATACCCGAGGCTAAAAAAAAAAAAAAAAAAAAAACAAATCATGCAGACATGAGTCCCAAGTCGCCCGCTAAGAAGTACGACCACCGTTGTAACGATCAGTGATGGGCTCCGCCCTCAAGCGGCGCCCGTCTTAGCGGCCAGGGTACCACTGCCGCGAGACGAGAAGATCCCCATGATGCCGAAGACGACATAGAACAGGGCAAGCGGGTACGCCACCAAGCCTCTCATACCACGCATCCGGGCCACAGCACAGAACATCCCCGATGAACTATACGTGCACCAGCCGACCGCAGCCGTCGTTAACAGGTACCCGAACAAAGTATCCATCGGAATCAGAATCCCCACAAGACTGGTCAAAACCAGGGGCAGGAAGCAGTAACCGAGAACGCTGGCTGACCGGGGAAACGTCAGGGTGGCGGAGAAATGTCCCACAGACGAGGCGTCGGACATGGTAGGCTTGTGATGGGGGTCGTAGCTGGACGGGTCTGCGGCATTGGGCGCAGACGCGGTATCGAGAGCGGGCGACATGAGACTGAGAATCAGATGCAGGGCGACAGTGCCGAAGACGGCCACCCCGTAGATGTAGCCGTAGAAGACCTTGCCCGAGAGAAGGAGGAATGTCCCGTAGAGCACGATGTAGAGGAGAGCCCCGTACAGATCGCTGTCGTCCATCAGATGCTGATCAATCCGAGCAAAGGGATTGAGCACCGTCAATGTCTGTAACCGATCCGAAAAAGAGAAAAAAAATCAGCCTCTCTCCGTCTAGACACGGACGCGACGGTTCCATTCCTCGCACAGCCGGATATTAAGCCACTGGACAGTCCATTACCCACCTTGGTCCTGATATGCTCAAAATTCACCCCCAGCTCCTCCAACAGCGGCGGCTCCCCTTCATAGCCCTCCGTGCCAAATGCAGCCAGCCATCCCGTCCTTAATCCGCCCTGTTCGCCCATCCTACCACTCACTCCAGCGGCAGGGGACCCAAAGCCACCGTATCCGCTTCCGACCCCTCCAACTGGATATGCCTGAGCAGTGGAGCCCGAGGGCCCGCCAAACCCGCCATAAGAAGCTTGTGAGGGTGTCGTATGGCCTGAAACCGAGGAGTATGATGAAGGATAGAACTGGAGATTCTGCGGAGAGGCCTGTGACCCGTAGGGCTGTTGCTGTGGATAGTATTGGGCCATTGCGGCCTACGTGTAGAGTGGACTGCGAAGACGATCAAGCGCTTGGTCGGCACAGGTAGATTTGGAGAATCGCAGGTCTATTGAGTGCAATGGTGCGTGAGGAGTATGATAGACTCTTCCTGTTTGAAGAGTTTCATAAATTGATCCTGGAACGGTAGTTGCGGTCCGTACAGTACAGCTGTCGGCTGTGTGTTCGATAGCTCCCTTGCCTCCACTATGTGCTTAGTCAGACACCCCCAGCTTCCCATACGAATCACTGGATCAGATCTGAACGCTGTAAAGTTCTATTCAAAATTGATGCATAGTACAGATTTTCTACAGGAAGTTGATACCGATTCCGAGTTGCAGTCCCTTTCTGCCCTCCTCACCCTTCCGCAACACCAGTGGGAGCGAGAAGTTCAGCTCAAAGCGCGCAACAGGGTGGGCGTACACGAGCCCAATGCCTGCTGCAACACTAGGTAGTCCATTTCCTAGCTCAGAAATCGTAGCAGCCATGGCGTCCTTCACTTCCGCGCTGCTTGTGGGAGCCTCCTTCTGCGAAGTGCGCAGGGGTAGCAGGCGGCCACCGTTCACAAACGCCTGCAGCCGCAGGGGCTTGTCCGCACTCACTCGAGGAAGAGGGAGGAGTATATTCGCACTTCCCGCCGCATACACATCGCCTCCTACGGCATCTGCTCCATCGTGAGGACCAAGTCCGCAGAGGCGGAAGCCGCGGACGTCCGTAGGGCCTCCGAGCAGGAAGCGGTCATTGATGCGAGAGAGCTGAGGTCGGGAATCAGAGTCCAGCCCCAAAGGATACAGGAGACCCGCACGGAAACCGGTTGTGAAGCTGATACCGCTGTCACCTTTAATTCCGGGAATTGGAATGGGAATTGCTCCCTGGGCTTCGACCTCCGATTTCCAAAACGAGACGTCTCCCTTTAGGGGGCCCCATCCGGCCAATTCGTTGAACGCCTTGGCGTAGTAGCCACGGGATGGAAGAAGAGGGTTATCTCTTCGATCGGCGACCCAGCTGTGGAAAATACTGCTCTTTACACTGTCCCCTGCATCAGCCCGGACTGTGGGCGAGGCGTTCTCAGCCAGTCCAGTAATCTGTCTCCAGTAGCCATTGTATCCGACCTCATGGCGATGACCGGATTGGCTGAGCCAGCGGAGCTTACTCCAGCCACCCTTCAGTACTTCTTCATGACTGGCCCATGACTTTTGCGTCGAACTCGCAATACCACCGACTTCGAAGCGGAAATCCGGATCAGTAAGGATAGGGGTCTCGAAAGCAGCTTGATAAGCAGACCTCGTCCTAGTGCCCATAGAAGCATTCAGATTGAGAGTCTCTGCACCACCAAAAACATTGCGCCAGAGGAGATTTCCATAGGCCGAGCCTTCAGTGTTTCCAAGATCAGTTCCTGTCTTCAGGAGTACACGGGACTTTTCCTTGACAGAGAAAAAGACGTCGATGTTGGGTATTCCATTTTGCAGGTTCGCATCTGGTGACTGGTCGATATACACTGAAATCGGTTGCTGAAAGATGTCTGCGAGCATATCAGAAACTGCTCAATACACTTATTCTTATCAAAGTAACAAACCAAATCTCGCGAGCTTGTCGGCTCGAGATGAGATCTCCCGCAATGCCTCAGAAAGAGTATAGGGCCGTGATTGATTGACGCTTAGCAGAGGGTCAAATATAGATTGCAGGAACCCTCTGCGTGTATGAGTCGCATTAAGCACTTGAACCGACGATATGGCGCATGGGAGAGTTGAGTTCTGGTCGATCTGGTATCATATATGTGTTGGTCAGTAAACCAGGTATTCGGTCGGCGTACATCGCAGATTGAATTGCATAAAATAACAGAAAACTGAGAGCATACCAACTCTCCAAGACGCATCTGCGCCTTTTGGTAGATAGCATGGACCCGTTCGTTGATGGCGTGCTGCTGCTCTTCAAGTACTTTCGGGTCGGCTCGCTGTTTAAGACGCTCGAAGATCTGCATGATGCAACGGCACGCGAGCGTCAGTTGATATTCGTATACAGATGGGCCTGAATATTTCCGATGGTTTCACATACGTCTTCATCGTCAGCAGAGAGTGGTGAGGACATTGCTGCGGCTGCAATGGCCAAAGAGACCTCGTACAGTCCTTCTCGGGTATGTTCGAGATGCTCGCAGGCTACGAGAATGAAGCCATAAAGCTCACGTGACCGATGATCGTCCCTCGGACTGCAAGCGCATACTCCATACTCCGTACATCATCGCAGACACTCCGCAGGATCCATCACACACGTGCAACAGAGGCTACTATACTCTTCCTATTCTCTCTTTCATATCATTTGATTTTGTTGGTCTTAATTTTAATACCCTCAGCTCGCTTTGCTCTATTTGGCGTTGTTGTATCTGGAGCCGAACTCCACGACTTTATCGAGCCCGAGATCACGGAGACTTGCATTAGCCACTCAAAGATGGCAACGAAAGCAGCGTACAAGCGAGTACGTTCATCTACAACACAGTATTGTACCTTTGAATTGGCTCTGACAATTTCCAGCTCACCCGCGAGTATCAAAACATTCAAAAGAATCCTCCGCCATACATTGTGGCCCATCCATCGGAGTCCAACATTCTCGAGTGAGTCTTCCCTGTTTCCATCATATCCTTTGCTTAATATGTGAAAACAAAGTGACTAAAACGAGATTAGATGGCATTATATTCTCACTGGTCCTCCCGGAACACCTTACGAGAATGGTCAATACTGGGGCACATTGATGTTTCCTCCCGAGTACCCATTTGCGCCCCCGGCAATTCGCATGCACACTCCGAGTGGCCGGTTCCAACCTTCGTCTCGACTGTGCCTCAGTATCAGTGACTTTCATCCCAAGTCGTTTAATCCAGCCTGGGAGGTCTCCACCATTTTGATCGGGCTTCTATCCTTCATGACTAGCGAAGAAATGACCACCGGTAGTGTCAGTGCTTCGGAGGCGGAACGGAGAGTGTTGGCTGCGCGCTCAAGGTGGTGGAATTCCACAGGTGGAGGCTCTCATATCAGCGCAACCCCGGGAGTGACTCCCACAGCCAAGGGAATCAACAATGTGAAGGCTGGAGATGGCGGCTTCAAGTTCCGCAGCGAATGGCCAGAGCTAGACCAAGAGAATTGGCAATGGATGAGAGAAAACCGCATTGATACGAACACTGGACAACTGATACCTGACCCCAACTCGTCAGTCACAAAGTGCTCTCCAGAGACAAGCGCACTCCGCAGGCGTCCAAACGCGAGTGCGCCTGGACTCGGCGCGGTAATGGAGGGTGGCCAGGTCGCACGAGAAGCAGGTCAGAGCTGGGCTCGTCGAAACAAAATCTGGATTGGTCTCGCCCTCATATTCGGCTACGCACTTCTTACCAGGCTGGTGAACGATGTTCAAGGTTGAGCTTTTCCGAAATTTATTTCTTTTTTCACAGAATACAGCACTACTTTTCGTCGAGTGGTACTGAAGAGCATCAAATCGGTTCAGCGAAGGAAACAGATAGCGATTAGGCCACTCCTTTCGTCAGATTTTCCCTTTGTTTCATCTTGGCTTATTCCCAACTCCTGTAATGGTGCCGTTATCCTCATTCTTTACTTCCTTTCTGGGCGACTGGCTACATTGCACGATAGTTGTGCAGCTTTATTGGGATTGCATTCTGCAGGTTTGTCAGTTTTATATGATCTTTGAGGCGTTCTAGACAAGGCCTGGCGTCTGGAGCTCTAATGATGGTCGGCAAATTCGTCCGTCGACAATGTACTTCAATCGAAGTCTGAATAGCAAGGACTGAATCTTCGTTCAATTTGTCTGTGGTCCTTGGGGGCAAGGAGGGAGGAAGAATTCTGTAGTTAGTTGATCTCCTCCGTATGGCTGTAGGGGCTCAGCTTCGTGTGAGAGCAGCGACCGGGTGATAAAGCAAGCCACTTCGCTGAGGTTACACGAACGGGGCAAAGGGGGTATCGATTTTGGAGGGCGTAACGTAGACCATGAAGTAGATACGATTTGAAATGATGATTATATCTATCTAGATAATGATGGCAGCAAGATTCAGTTGGACAGTGTAAGATAGGTCAAGATTATTGATAGAAAAGGAGGATATCGGCTCCTCTGCGATCCCCGCAATGCAACAAAGGCCATGATTATGATTTTCAACCGAAGTTTGGAAAAGGGCGAATCCTTCAAAGATCGACAATGATAGGAAGAGATTGCATTATGTCAAAGTTCGTACCAGGCAAGAGAAAAGTTACACCACAGTCAATAATAATAATAGTGCTGAGGCTGGACCGAGTTAATAATAATACTAATATTAATACTAATAATAATAATAATATAATGGAAGTCTCCTATGGTAGATCATTTCCCATTCGCATCCTCTTCACTCTTGGGCAACTTTCACCCATCTTGGATCGCTCGTTGTCTCTTCATCACACCTTCAACCCATTCGTGTCATTATTATTCTGTATCATGCTACCTATGATCATCGTACAGTACTAGGTACTATTCACACGTGTCCATGTGCTATGGGAATGCATAGGTGCTAAAGACATACCCACTGTGCCCCAATAAGATCTTCCATCTCACAAATTACTTCGTCCTCGAGTTCCCATACTATCACTTGCTGCATGCTCGTCCGCCCTTGTCGGAGTTGCATTTGCAGCTTCCTGGGGTAGTAGCTTGATGGTTTGACCTTCACTACTGCTTGTTTAAAATACTTTTGTGAGGCTCTATCCAAGCCCGGCAATGGACCGTCATCATGAGGCTCGGGGATTTCCCACTCTTCATGAATCCAAAGGTTCGTTATATTCCGTCATCCGCAGTGCCGATCAAACGAAGTTTCAATTATCGTGCATTAAATTTCATTCCCTTTTACTCTTCTCATATCTCTTCTTTCTTCTGCTCAACGGCATGAAATTATCTTATACAAAATTAAAGCCGGTATAATGAATGCTATTCTGAGAAGTCCTCTAAACAAAGAATGTTGCACTGCCTGGTGATTACCGTGTGCCTGAGCCAGAGAGCTTGAGATTGTGATTCATGACCCTTTCCCCCTGATTTATTCCACAATCTATCAAATTCTTCATTTCTGTGCAACAGATACATTGCTACCGTACATCACTGGCATACCCAGCTTTGACGGATATGCGTATCAATCGGGGGTCACACACTACAGGACAGCACTTTGATTTCAGATTAAGCCAAATCAAATAGCCCGTTTACTTACTACGAATCATCCAGCATCGAAACCCATCAATCCTGCTGCGATTGACCGCCCAATGTTCACGTTCATCGACCATGACGATGATCTGAGCTCCAAGAGAATCAAAGACGCCAATGCGCGCAAAGCCATTCGCTCTCATGTTATGCGTGACGTGCGCAGACGGGAGCGACTTGCTGGCTTAAAGAGAGTCTCAAAGCGCGAATCCCGTCTCAGTCAACCTTTACCACTGTCTGCGTCGATTTCACCGCAGGCGGAAAGCGCCACGTCGGAGTATCTGTTGGGAGCAGGGGTTGCTTCTCCATTATCCGCATCTTCTTCGTTGACAGACTCCAATCCTGGCTGTAGTCATCTTAGATCCCCACAAGAACGACGACGACCGATAGTATGGAGAGCTGGTTATTCAGCGCCACCGACTCCTACCCCCAGCCCTCTGGCTTTCCCGCCGTCCTGGCTTCTTGATCCATTTGATACATTGCCGGGCGTTGATGAAACCCCGTCGATGGTTGCTCATCTCGTGTTCTATTGTGAGTGCTCTGGCCTTTTACCTTTACCAAACTGTACCAGCAATTGCCGCCCGAAGATTTCTGGTGTTGACACGGCGGGACTCCCTGCAATAGCTGTAATTGGGAGGAAGGCCTTGAGATACATTCCCCTGGCGCCAGGCTAACGTTTAGCGTCGACAAGGGAAGTCCGTCTTTGTTCCAATGACATTTCCTGAGGAGCATAAGATCAACGAGCAGGCGGAGACTGAATTGATGGTCAAATCGTCATTCTCGGATCCAGGAAGTTTTTTTGGTTTAATGACCATGTGCGCGGCTCATCGAGCTGTATTGACCGGACATCACATCGATTTCTCCCGTGTACCGGACGGCTCTCGCCCAATCGGGCCCGAAGCAGATTACTTATTCATGAAAGCCAGATGCATACAAGAGATGAACGCTAAAATGTGTGATTCTAGTCGTGCACTGAGCGATGAATCGTTTGACACAGTTGTCAATTTACTGACAAGTACCGTAAGGGCCATCTTCTCCGATGCACCTTTTCCTTCCGGCCATGAACTAGGGGCCCATATCTCGATCTTGAATTCCTTCTAATCCTCTGCAGCTGATCATAGGAAAGTTCGACGAAGCCCGAATACATCTGGGAGGCTTGAAACGCATGGTGGAATTGCGGGGAGGCCTCATGGCGGATAGTATCCACCGGTCTTCGACGCTAGCAGCTATCATCACGTATGTAGTGGCACCCCACAAATATTCAGAGGATAATGTTAAGCATGGGATCAGGACCGATGTAAAATCAGCATCGGGTCTCATGACCAAGCCATTGTTCTCTCTTCCCTGGGATCCTCGACCGGTCCCGTCGAGTGTCCAACAACGGATTAGACCACCGGCTTCGTCGGTGTTGACGAGGCTGGGTGCAGCCTTCTTTGCCAACAACCTTCTCAGTCTTCCGCTACTGAGAATCTTACATGTGATGCGTGATATAGTTCTTTACAGCCAGGCTTACAGGGAGAGCCCCGCCTCTGTTCATCCTAAGGACCATGATCTTTTTCGCGTGGTAAATTGCGAGACTGAACATCAGCTCCTCTCTTATATATACACCGAACTCGGCCATCAAGGCTTACCTTCTGGAACACAATTGGACCTCAGTCCTCTTGAAGCTGTCACCAGAGTCGCCTGTATCTGCTTTCTCAATCAGTTTCTGATAGTATCACCACCATCAAGTGGGCTGGGTCGCGCCCTGACTAAGCACTTGAAAGCGGCTATGAGCAGTTGTTCGCTATCCCTAGGACCAAAGACTCCCAAGGACGTATACGGACTACTCGCGTGGGTGCTATTTATCGGGGCTCAAGGTTCAGCGGGACAGGTTGAACGTTTTTGGTTCATTGACCGGCTTGCTCGGTTGGCCATGATTTGTGGCTGGCAAAATTGGGAATATGTAGCGGACATTTTGGCTGATTATTTCTATCTACCTGATTTTCACGGAGCAATGTGGAAGTCAGCCTGGGAAGAGGCTGTAACCGGCCTCTTTCCCGAATGATGTATCGGGGTGTGCTCTAACTCGTCGCTGCGGGATTGACCTGGATTAGTGAGTCAAAAAGCTTTACTATGTGGAGGAATGCCACGCAATGGTTTTCAGGCAGCATTTGGATACCCAGAACCATTCATTTGTATAACATTACCCGCTAGCAAAGCATATATAAGAGTCTACATGTCGACTTAGACCTCTCAGCATGTCTTGTGGAAGATCAAAAGCGTATTTTCAAGTGAATTGAATCAGGAGATAAATAAATAAATAGCAAGTAAACATGGATGCCATGTGTGGATAGGTAGGTAACTCTCTGTATACCTCATCCTCTTTTGCATATGCCATCGACTTGATTGGCTCCTTGATTCAGCGTCACGGGGCATAAGGCTACGGACCGAGTTTATCCGAAGATTCATTTCTTGCCGGACATTATTATGTCATCTGCCCGAAAGTTTTTGGATGTGGTAGGAAATATACTCCATTGATTTCATCCGTGCTTCAACCCTCGAACACATTTGAACTTGAATTTTCACCTCCAATACTTTCTTCTTTGCCATTATACTCTTATAGCCTCTTCATTTCCAATATGGGTTGGTTTTGGGCAGATCCGCAGCCAAAGCCAACGCCTGTGGCACCAAATCCTCTGGCATCCTCCGATGCGTCTCCTCCAGTTAGTACAAGAACCTGTTGGCATATCTCCCAGAAACATTCTAATTAACTTCGATCTGCAGCCAGGATGTCCCATGCATGCTTCCAACGCTCCTCCGGCCTTGTCTTCGCCGTCTGCTCGGTCTGATACTTCCAGCTCCTGCCCGGTTCGGTCCACAGACTCTCCGTTCTATGTGCAGCCGAAAACTACCGTCACGGACTCTCCTCGGCCCCCTGCTCCCGAAACTAGATCGACTTTGTCAAAATTGAACCCTCTTAACTACATGTTCTCCTCGATTTCCCAAGAGCGAGCACCGAATCAAACCGTGGACCTGTCGGTGGAACGAGAGCCTTCCTCTATACCTAGAGGCGATACAGACGGCAACTGGGATTATCCCTCCCCCCAGCAAATGTACAACGCTATGCTCCGTAAAGGCTACACCGACACGCCACAGGATGCTGTCGAAGCCATGGTAGCAGTCCACAATTTCCTGAATGAGGGTGCCTGGGCTGAAATAGTTGGATGGGAGCGCGTATTTGCTAAGGGTCTGGGACAAGCATGGGAAAAATGCCGAAAGGGAGAAGAAGGCCTTGCGCTGGAGGCGATGAAGCAGGAGATGACCGGAAATATTGATCCAGCCAGTGAACCTCGACTTCTCAGGTTCAAGGGTCGACCACAAGAGCTTACCCCCAAGGCGCAGATACTTCAAGCTCTAGGTTGGCTGTATCCTGCAAAATTTGGGTGAGTGAATCGATCCTTCACCCACGCTCGGGTTGCTGTAGAGCTCTTCACGTGATTTTCATTGACTTTGAGACTATGCTTACACGGTATATCCTACAGAACAAACCCACCTTTCGATCGCCATGATTGGTTTGTGCTGCGACAGACGCCATCGGGTCCAAAAGAAGTCCGCTACGTGATTGATTACTATTCCGGCCCCCCCGAGCCGACTGGGGAGCCAGTATTCTATCTCGACATCAGACCAGCTTTAGACACCCCGACGGCAGCCGTTGAGCGTCTAATGAGATGGGGCGGCGACGTCTGGTGGAGAGCTAGCGGCGGTGCAGTGCGAGAGAACAATAATCAGTAATTACACGTTCTCTGCAGCCTACACGCGAAAGCGTATGATTGGATGAACCGACATCTTTCTTATGGAGAATGCATACTTGAGAGCGCAGGCGACTCTGACGATTGGACTGAAACATTCAATTCTCGACATCACTTCTTTCGCTGTTCATTTCTTTGCTTCACGTCCACATGCTTGACTGTGTGTTCCTGCTTATACAAGCAACTAGTTATGGAGTCTAGTGGTATCCTGTCTTGTTTGAGTATGGGCTCATTGTGTTTTTCACTGTTTTTTCTCCACCATCTCCTCTCACCCGTCTCGAGGGAACTGTACTATATAGGTAGCAATATTATTGTATCGCAACGGAACAAATATATGCAGGCACCTCTAATTTATCAAGCACAAAACCGTAGCGGCTATCGACCTTCTTCTTTTCTGATCGCAGACAAGTATGCAAGATTAGGATGTCTATTTAATCACCCAAGTGATTTATTTGTTCATCAGGTCTATATGTACATATTACGAGCCCTATCACCATCATTAGTACGGCGGAGAACCCCTATATGACAGGAGCATGGTACCATGAGTATCGCTGGTGTTGGAAATTGATTGAGAGAGGCTCTCATCAGACTGCTCGAGGTTTGCGCAATACAGTCGAGTAAAGAAGCAGCTCCTGCCTGGCTTCCAAAGACCTCGAGAATTGACCCTGAAGCATCAATCATTGCTGCATTTAGATCGCATAATCGCCGCAGTATCTGTAAGACCTAGATAATGTAAACGTTACCCTGAAAGCAGGCCAGTTGTCTGAACCTTGTGTAAGTATAGACACGATTCTAGATCAAACGTAAGGGGCTGGTAATTCTCCGTCCGTTATATGTTTGGAGACAACAGGTCATATTTCACACACTGCTCCACACTCTCAATGCTGGCCTGGAGTAGGCCACGCGCTTCGAGACCAACCCAAACACGAAGCATGGAAGTATCGCCAGAACGGACCGAGCTAAGAAGAGTCGCACCGGAACTAAGCTGCCGCAAGATCGGAAGAGCACTAATTGAATTAGTCATTTATTGCGGATAGTTGGAGCCGAGAAGAGCCCTGATAGCAACAGAGAAAAAGCATTAACTGACCTTTTGAAGAGATCCAGGTCTGGATCCAGACTTCGACCGATACCTTCGAGAAGAAGGATAGAGATGACCACATTGACAAAATCGCCCTCGAGCCGAACGTGGTGACTTCGAACCATGGATAAGACCTCGCTCAGCACGTCCCCAATTTTGATGTTGCCCAATGCGAATGTCCGTGATTTAATGCCGTAGACCAAATGCTCCATTTTCAGAGCAAAGACATCGGCGTCGATGACTTCTTCCGGCTGACGGCACCGCTCAACCATCAATTGACCCGCTCTGAACCCGTCAAACTCGGCTACAGCTCGGAACAGGTCGAGGAAGTTTCTCCGGTTGGTCTCGTTGAGCTGAGTCACTAGGCCAGTGTCAATGAAAATGAGCTGGGGGCGATAGCCCTCAGTACTCAGCTGAGAAAGAGCAGCGTTCCAGTCCTCTGGATTATGAGCGTGCGGCCTCAGTCGGGCCAGCACAGTCTCGGTCACATCAACTTCGGCGGCGGTTGGCGCATCTGAAGCCCGACTGCGCTTGCCGAGTGATAGGTCCAACTCAGCCGGTTGATAAAATCGGACCATGATATTTCCCGGGTGCAAGTCCGCGTGGACAAAGTTGTCGATCAGAAGCATATGAAGGAACGCGTCCAAACCCTCGTTTGCGATCTCTTGCTGGTAAACACCCCCTCCAACGTCCAAAAAAATCGCCAAGGGGATACCTTGGGCGAATTCTTCGACAAGCACTTCACGCGTGGTGTAATCCAAGTATGGGTACGGAAACCAAGCGGTGGTTCGTGATTTGAACTTCTCGCGAAAGATCACGAGGTTGGATGCCTCGATTCTGAGGTCCAGTTGTAGTTTCATCATCTCACCAAACTGCTGGACTTCGTCCGGCAAAGATAACCAGTGCATTGTGGGGATAGCATTAATCAGCGATGCGAAGAAAGACATGATTCGTAAATCTCTCCGAATGACGCGTTCAACCTTTGGATGGAGTACTTTGATGGCCACATACGACGATGGAGCTCGTCGCGGCGAACTCTTTACCAGCACGTCGACATTCTTTCTTACCTTGCCGCGGAAGCTTCTGTCCTCAAGTGTCAGAGCCTGATCGTCCACCACAGCCAAGCTCGGTTTGAGCTTTGCCTTGTATACTTGAGCAATAGCCCCAACTCCTAGAGGTTCCTCGTAGAACTCCTCAAAAATCTCCTCGAATGGTAGGCCATTGAAAGCCTTGCTTATCGTCTTTTTTGTTTCACGCAATGAATGTGCGGGAGCGTGAGAGTGTAGTGAAGACATAATGTTGCACATTTCAGGTGGAAAGATATCAGTGCGTGACGCAGCCCATTGTCCGAGCTATTGGGAAGGAATGGTAGTCAGTATGCGCATGGTAGCCAAGACGTATACGAGGGGCCCTCACCTTAATGAACGCTGGACCAGCACGCTCCATTGATCTGACTAAAAAGCCATACCACCAAACGGCGCCTGCCCGCTCCCCCTTTCCATCTTGGAGTCGCCCTCCTAACCATATAGCAGGCACTGTAATGATGACAGGAATGAAAACAATCGCCAAATGGACGAACCGAAAGCCCGTAGCGATTGGGTCGTATATGTAGTAGTACCAGAAGACAAATAGCGATTGACAGAGTTTCCTCAAGCCTCGCGCATCCTCGGAGACGCTTTTTCGAATCTCTTGACGCGAAACTTCTAGCATCTGCATCTCGCCAGTCTTGTCATGACCATCTCCTTTCTCCGCCAACTCTAAGAAGGCCCCCGGCGTCAGAGACGCAAGGAGTACCGTTCTTCCAAAGGGTACCTTCCTCTGAAATAATCTCCACGGACTTGGAGGCCATGTTGGCGTATGTTTTGAGCGGAATCGAAATGGCGTTGCAAAGCGGGTTAGTAGTTGCGGACTTCCACCACCTCGGCACCGAAAGAAACGGCCAAAGAGGATGGCCGCCCTCATATTATCATGCAAGAGCAAGCCTTCGGAGGCCCAGAAAAGTCATCGAGGAGTAGATCAAGGCTTCTGCGTAAACCTGGAGACCGCCATGAAGAGGGTGATATCGCCTGGTTGGAGGAGGACCGGAGAGTCCGAGTGAGACGAACCCGAGTCGGGCGCTGCACGTGTCACGACGTCATCAGCAGCATCGGATCAGGAACATTTCAGAACATTTCCTCTCCATCGTCATGATGATTGATAGTAGTCTGAGGGCTATTTTCTCCAGATCGGTTTCTTATTACCTTGTCCTTTCTTGTGCTCAGTCTGTTGGGGATGTCGTTTGTTATCTGCCAAACCTCTTCCTCTCGTTCTGAATTAATTGTTCTTTTGATGGGCCGCATTCCAGGCTCTTCCAGCCACCAAAACTCCAGAATCCAGATTACCCACTAGAGCAGTTCACCATTACCTGTTCCGGCTCAGGCTGTCTCATGCGGTTTCTGTAGACGCTGCTTAGTCAAGTCGGCAGTGAGCTCGCTGAGCTGACTCTTTCGGACTCTGTGCTGCAATGTCCGAAAACAGCAATGTTTCACTGTCTACTATAGCTGACCATTGGCTCTAGTGCTTGCCGGTCGTCATGCCTTAAATAGGCGGAGACATTGGTCTTCAGATATGAGATTCCTACCTGTCTGATCCTGTTGAATGCCCTTGAGACATGGTCATGCCAGTTCAGTATGAGTGGCCTGGAAAAGCTCGGCGATGTGGAATCGCAAAACGAGAATGTCTCAAAAGACCTAACATGGACCACTATACTAAAGTGGGGTGCCATCACTTATACCAGCATGCTCATTGTGTTCATCGGCATATGCAGCTGTTATCCTTCACTCCTTGAAGTAGGGCTGCTTTCACTGCTATCTCACAGAAGCTCCTCCGTCCCCTTCCTTGCGTATTCCCCCAGAGTTGGTTATCTTGAGAAACCGGCGGGATTTGACATCGTTGCACTGTTGCCCTACAAGCACCGTGAGCAAACGTCTATTTTGGACTGTTATCTGCAGGTATCGTTTGATCTTCTCCCTGTTGTGACGAACTGGTTGAACTGATAAGTCTTAGAAAAATCTTGCCAACAATCATGGGTTCCTTGACAAAGTGGTTTTTATTCCGCAGTCGAATGACACAGCCAGTCTTGAATGGCTGGCATCGATTGTCCAAGAGACGTCCGCCTACAGCGTTTGGACATCACCGGCTGATCTTTACCGGGAAACGAAAAGACGTACGCTGTTCGTCTGGCTGGGCGGTGATATCGTCTTTCTGGAAGACCAAACCATTCCAACAATTGTCAAAACAAAGCTCGACTACTCGGATTCGTTGATTGTCTCCGCAAATGTCATCAACCATGCAGCTCTTGAGGCACTTCACAGTCATTCTGGGGTCGCTTTGCCCTACCTCCCAGAACTTTTTCACCAGGCTTCCGCAGCTGCGCAACTGCCACCTGAAGCAAACTCAGGTTGGCGTACATCAAATCTTCCGCCGTGGGCTGGACCAGAAGACTTCAGAGTCCTGAAAGGATTTGCTCCGCCTGGTAACAAACATCGCTGGCTCCTAACAGACGAGGAACACGTTGATCGGACTCCGATCAGCACATCCATGTACACCTCTGATGGACCGGGCTTTACTGATTGGACTGTCAAAGCTCAACAGCATTACTCTTTCCTGCACCACCTTGAATTGGACGAACTTCACCGATACAAATTCCCTATATGGAGCAATCCTGCAGACGTCAGCCCAAATCTTCTGTGCTTCTGGGATGCTGATGCGAATGCTGTGCAGTCCAACATCCTGCACGGTACTTCCTACATACCATCTGGATTCGTCGAGGATGCCAATAACCCTACCAAACGCATCATCATCATCGATGGCAAAGGATTGGCGGCACATTACTCGGCGGATGCAGGCGCAGAAGATCTGGACTCCACTGATATTCTTCAACGGTACGAGGCCTACGCGAAAGAAATGATTTGTCCAAATATCTCCTAAGTTTCTGGTTGCGGAGCAACCTGTGTGCCAGAGTCATAGATCGGTCACGCGTCACTTATTCGCATGTCATCTTTACAGACCAGATATAGGATAGTTGTACCCTATTTCTAGACTCGTTTCTTTTCTAAAATAGACAAACGAAGCCAACCTTCAGAGTTAGCCAGCATGGTCTAAGACTCGGCATGTAAACACGAATTGCTAGTCTTCAAAGCCACATATATCCAGAAGCTGCTTCCATATTGAAGACGGGAGAGGTAAGGGGCGGAATCTCAATTCAGCCTTGTCCTTTGCAGATGCTGTGAGACATGGCTATGCATGAGCCTCTCCAATGTGGCTCTCTGGGAAGCCGGGAGTGCACCAGACTGCAGAGAATTGGACATCAGTAGATGCTTTTCAGATATGGAGAAAAGCACTGCTTGACTTACATCATTTTTCAATAGCTCTTGAATAAGAACTACAATATTATCGCAATCCTTGGCTGATTTCAATTTGTCCGCTTCATCCGCCGATTCAGAAACCGACATGCTCATGGTCTCCTCCAGTAACGGGTATAAATCAAGCTTGTGCAGACAGTCAATAACGGCGGCACTGCCATGTTTGCTGGAAGCCATCAAAGCTAAGGCAAACCATCCCTCGCTCCTAACCACAGGCCATTGCGATTGAGCAATCATAGCACCAATTGGAAGCCCAACGCCCTCGTGCATGGTGAACAGACGCTCAAGGAGTGTATTGGCCTCACTGTCCGGTTCGCAAGACTTTGGAACGATTGTGCGGCAGATTGAAGCTACGATCCGTCCAACCTCTGTTTTGATTGGTGTGGAGTCCGTTTTCTCACACAGAGAAAGTAACGATGAAAGATATGTCTGTCGTGAGGTCGAGGAGTCCTCGGCAGTAGGAGCAAAGTCCAGCAGACGCGAAATGTTTGCGATTGACGAGATGATGATTTGTCGAACAATGCTTGTTGCAGCAAATTGGACTTGAGGAACCGTCTCATATCCCCATAGGCGTGAGACTGCAGGAATAATCCCGGCATCGCCCAGGCATTGTCTGTTATCGCCAGCTATAGCCAAGTTCTTCAGGATTCCAAGTGCGGAATGGAGAACCGCGCCTCTAGCATCAGATCTCAAAATCGATATCAACGTAGTGTGTATGCTCATCTTCCGCACCATCACTTCGCACACCGCGTCCGATCGCGCCAAGTTGCCCAGCATAACACATGAACATATTTGAAGTTGGTCTTCTGTCGAAGCCAGCCAATCTTTCAAGGTCTGGGCAAGAGGAGACTCAAGGGGATATACCTGGGAGAATTTGGGTGATGCAGAGATTTCTGACAGTGTTTGGTTGATCTTCAGCTGGAGCTGCGCCAATGCTTGGGCATCACCACTTGACAAAGGGTCAACTTTGGTATACAATGACTGTTTGAGCACAGACAACACTCGGTCAACCATACGTTGACCAACACAGATATCCTGGAATCGTTCCTTGTCCAGATAGGTCATAAGACAATTAGCAAGGCAGACAAATCGAGAGAGAGCAACTCCCTCCTCAGACACAAGATCCAAGAGAAGTAGAATTGTCCCACCTGGAGATTCCCGAATGCCTTGTTCTGCGCATCGGTTTTGTTAGCATGAAAGGTGGCTATGACAGGTGGACGGAGACCTTACCATGCTCTGCGAGTAGCTCTATGAGTTCATAGGAGAAGTCAAGAAGCGCCTCGTTGTCTTCGAGCACGCCATCCTTGATTAGTCTCAAAAGGATATATACAAGATTGTTTGCAGCCAGTTGACGTTGGGCAGGCTCTGTGTAAACGTTAGAGTTCATAGCCTAATACCGAAAGATATACTAACCATAATCGATGCAGAGGTTGTAAATGACAGGAATCACGACATGCACAAGTTCTGAGCTAAGACGGTTGAGAATAGCAGCTGTGTAGTTATCCTTGACAACAAGGGCTCTGTTTTCATCTGGAGGAGGTCAAAATTACTACAACTTCGGTCATTCATCGACGGTGCAACTTACCAGTGTCAGCACAGGAATTGCCGACCAACCGTAAAGCATGAAGGAGTACATCATTGTCATCAAATTCCCTCGAAGCGATGATCTGAAGGAAGAAATTCAAGATGCCAGCTCGCCCGTATGGGAGTCTCCAGGATGCTAAGCGGAGGTCAGTCATTATCCGATGAAGAAACAGCCCAAGACCACGCACAATTTCTACTGCCGTTTGCCAGATCATCGGCAGCTCGCGCCAGATAACGCGATCCGCACTTCCAGAGTTCAATTAGAATGGTCTGCGCTTCCTCGAAGCTCTCAGCACCGCCTGTAGCCTCTGCAAGTGTATCTTCTAAGCGCCGCAAAAGAGCCGCTTGCTCGTCAACTGGGGCCGATGAAGTTGTTTGAATTGGTAGAATTGACGGCCCTGGACTCAATTTTGACAATATTTGGCTCAATGAAGGACAGTCTATGTTATTTTCTGCCTGGCTGGACGTCTTCTTCGCAAATTGATCTTCAATATCAGGTCCAGCCGTTTGAACCGCATCCAGCTTGTTGTCGGTGTTCATATCTTCGAAAGCGGTTGCGTAAATAGCCTCTTCTGTCAATACGAAGTAAACCTCAAACAGTAAAGCAAGGCAAGCAGGCCTCGTCCTCAAGCAAGCGCGTTCGTACTGAGAAACAGCTGTCTCTTCCCACAACGCTCAGCGGATTGCCACTTTAATCCCTTTTTTGGCCAATTTTTTCTCGCTGTGGATGGCCCAGATGACAAAATATGAAGCTCGACACTGAAGAACCGGTGGATGTCTTGTTATTCTTCGGTCTGAAATAAAGTCTACAATATTACGGAGTATTGATGATAGCCTGAGGCGGATCAGGCACTAGGTACGTAGATTAAGACGATGGTGGAAGTGTGCTTTCTGTGGTTCATACTGTAATTTATTACCATACAATCTCAATTACCCAGCCCAAGGCCTCTCTTCTCATGGAGCCATTCAAGCCATAACAGGATAAAATATTGCCAGCTGTTCTCCAAACTCCTCAGATTGAGAGCAGAACGATCAGTATTTACTCTCTCTAGTTAGTTGCGATTGTCCTCGAAACATTAACCTACTGCTAGCGTTTCGGAGGCCGTATCCATCAAGGCCAGTAAATGTAAGGTACCGAGACTACAGACAGATGCAATAAAGTTAGGGAGATACAGGTAGACAACTTCCATGGTGGCATTTCGACCCTGAGTCCTTCATTCCTACTGCTGTCATTATTTTGTCTCAATTGCGTCTGGTTTGAACGCTCAAATATACTCTCATTTAATCTATTCCTATCTCTCTTATCCCACATCAACCCCGTTGATCTTACACCACCACATTCCTTCACCATGACGCGCGCTCAGCAAACCCTCTCGATCCTCCTCCTTGTCTCTTCTGTACGTGGCAGATTTCCGCTCAAAAGCCTCCAAATTTTACTGACACCTGTCTCGATCTAGCTCTATCTCGTCCTATACCTGGGACTCATACCCCTGAACGAAACTGTCCAAAATGAAATCATCCCGGTTGTACGTTCCTCTGCCGCGGTTCCGCTCGCTGTTTACAGCTGTCCAAGTTGCCCGCTGACCCTTGCGCGATTTGCTCACCAGCTTCCCTTCTACGGCCTAATATGTTTCGCCTGCTACCTGGGTGGCCGACTAGGTCTGGCCATCCTGACGTTCAACGACTGTCCCGAGGCACACCAGGAGTTGCAGAAGGAGATTGAGCAGGCGAGGGCCGACCTGCGCACCAAGAACGTTGACGTTGACTAGGCTGTGTTCTTGTTGTGTTCGCTCGGCGTTTCTTCCCGGTATCAGCAATCTGTTTGGATATCGTTTTCTTCAGTGCTTTCCATCAGCTCAAGCCCTGCCGGTTCGCTCTCGCGCTTGGTATATTTAGATTGAGAAAATGACACAAGTACGGTCTCGCTCGCATAACTTCGATACAAAAATGATGGCGTTTCATTGGAATCTTGGAGAGACTGAAGTGATAAAAGACAATCTCCTCGTCTCGGTGATCTGTGATATTGGTCTAGAGAGTTACATTGTCCCAGGTCGATCCAAACTAAGGATCAAGCCATGACATCGACCAATTGATGGGAAGCTATAGACTGACAAAAGCCGAATAAGAATGCCTACCGATGCCTGAGTCTTCTAGATTTCATTAACTTAGAATGAGAGATATCTTGTTCTTGTCTTTTGATTCGTTCACGATCAAATCTAAGGCAGACCTCCCATCACGGGCCTTGATATGCATTGCTTTCTCTGCCGGAGAGCCTCTCAAAACACCATTCGTAAACGTGTCATGTCCAACATGAACTTCATCAAGCTCAGTAAGAATAAAAAAGAAAACTTTATATGTGCAAGCAAATGAAACCGATATGCAAGGGTGCTAAAAAGCGGGCGATTTATACAAAGCAAAATGTATGGAGCAATCATACGACGTAGTTTCTCGACTTGGAAACCTAAACGAGGGGGTTCTCCCTGGCCAGTCTGTCGTGCTCTTCAATATCCCTGTTGTTGGAGTCTTCGTTAGTGACCGAGAAAAACGAGGAAGGCGACATAAGCCCAATACGTACTTGGCTTCCCAGGGATAGCAGATCCACACATCATCAGTTGTGACTGCGGCGTGATAACGGCCAGATTCCATCATGTCTGCAGGCAACTCGCCCTTCTTCAACTTGTTCTTGTTCTAATGAAAAGTCAGCCAATGTCTCCGCTAAATCGCCTTTCTCAGGAAATTGAAGATCAAGAACATACGTGAAGGACAAAGACGAAGAAGTTGGTCTTCTCGCCCTCGCGGCCGAGCTGCTTCTGGGCAATCTCCACATCCTTCTGCAGCTCACGAACTGCATACTCCAGGGTTGTCCGGGTGTCATCGACCTCGTCGACGATGAGGATATTCTTGCCAATAAGGTTGGCCATCTCGAGAGAGCTGAGATCCAGCCATTGTGTGCGGGTCACCTTGGTTCCGGGAACCTCTTCGGGGTCACCACGACCCAAGTCCTCATAGAGAGACAGACCGATAGCCTGAATGGGAATGTTGGGCTCGCCGGTACGCTTGAGGAAGGATCTGATAGGAGGTCCTGATCAGCATGAATCTTGAGCTAACACAGGGACTGTTCGGCATACCGAAGGATACGAGCCGGGACGTAACCACCACCACCAATGGCAATCATGAGATTGGGCCGGAAGGTGTCCAAGATCTTCTCAGCGGAGGTCTGGCACAACTGGTGGACCTGTCGATTCAAACTGTCAGCAAACTGTCATTGACAAAAAGCGCAGAAGCACATTTGCTGTAGCTGGACTGCAAGGCAATGGTGAAGAAACTAAGTGCATGTGCAGATGCATGTTGCATACATGCACCTCCTCCGAACTTTGAACTGATTGTGCAATACCGTCGCAGCCATCCAATGAGCAGGTGGTCGAACAAGCATACCTGATTGTATGTGACATAGACTTTTTGCGGCATGTTGGCGACGTGAAATCTTCCGATCAAACGAGTTCAAATAATGGATCGTGGAGGGGTAAATTTTTGATAGAAGATTAATGAGCGGACAACAGCTTCAAGGTATTTTTGTGCGAGATAAAATGAAAATGTACCTTAGGTATCTAGTAGAAGTAGAAGCCAAGATAAAAAAAAAAAAAAAATGGAAAAAAAAAAAAAAAAAAAAAAACCAGGGGAAAATATGGGGGGAAAAGGGCCAAATGAACGAAAGAAGGCGGCAAGAAAAAAGAAAAAGGAGGGGGGGAAGAAAAAAAATTTTAGAAAAATAAAAAATGGGGTACCAGCCAAAGACAACGCGACCAACCAAAAACCGAACAAAAAATACTATAAAAAACATCTCACAACACAAAAAAAAAAAGCAAAAATCTAATGCCGCTTTTTGTCTGAAAAAA